AATTCCCTGATAGAGAAAAATAATTTGACAAACAGTTAAGTGAGGCATATAGAACTCAATTTAGCCATGATCAAAAAATCTACAGCCATGCATATCATATTCAAGATTCCAGAAATTCAACACAAGAATAGCGTATTAAAAGCTGTTAGGGAAAATAAACAAGTGCCTATAAATGGAAGCCCATCAGAATCAGCTGAAGAGCTGGAGATATCACTCAGCAGCACAAGTGTCTGCCTGGCAAGTGCAAGGTCCTCAGTTCCATTTCCAATATCTCTCCCAAAAAGAATGACAGCTGATTTCTTAGCACAAACCCTCAAGTCAAGGAAGGCTTAGAGTGAAGTATTTGAAGCTCTAAAGGAAAACAACCTTCAGCTCAGATTGATATACCTTGCAAAACTATCTTTCAAAACTGATGGAGAGTTAAGATATTTCCATGATGAAGATTAGCTGAGGAAATTTATGACCACCAAACCAGTACTTCAAAATGTTTTGAAGGACATTCTAGAAAGAGAAAACAAGAACTCCAGCAGAAGGAATCCACCAGGCAAGGCAAGCAATGAAACGGAAGGAGGGAGAAAAAAAAACTCTGAATAAAATAAAGAAAAATTGTAGCTCAGCATAAAAATGACTGCATATGGCAGCCCAATAAACAAGATCACAGTGGATGGATGAAAGCTGATATCATTAACTCTAAGAACAGGAGCAGGAAAGGGATGTATACTTTCAGGGCTCTTGCTCCATAGTATAGGAAGAAGTAGCAAGAGTAACAAAGAAAGAGGAAGAAGTAAAAGATAGCTAAATTTAAACTAATAAGTTCAAATTTACGCTTAAAGAAGACATCATCTTATATATTGCAAGATCAAAATACTCTCCCCAAAATGTTAGAACTAATGAATTCAGTAACGTTGCATTAACACACAAAAACAATATGCAAAAATACATAGCTTTTTACACAGTAATAATGAAGTCTCTGAAACAGCAATAAAAAAGCTATCCCATTCACTGTGGTGATAATGAAATAAAGTAAAATAAAATAAAATCCTAGAAATAAATTAAGCCATGGAAGTAAATGACCTCCACAATGGAAATTATAATAAACTGGTAGTAGAATCAAAGTAGGGAGTAGAATAATGGTTACCAGAAACTAGGAAGAGTTGCGGGGATGGGAAGTGAATGGAGAGGAAAGGATCAGTGGTACACGGGTAAAGTTCTATACAAGGCATAGCTTCTAATGTTTTATAGCATAATAAAGTAACTGTGGTTAACAATTAACTGCATATTTCAAAATAGCTAGCAAAAAGGACTTTAAAATTCCCAAGAAGCCAGGCATGGTGGCGCATGCTCATAATCCCAGCACTTGGGAGGCTGAAGCAGGAGGATCATTGCAAGTTCGAGACCAGCCTGGGCTACGAAGTGAGCTCAAGGGCAGCCTGAACTGCACAGTGAGACCCTGTCTCAAAAAGACAATAAATAAATAAATAAATATACCAAAGAAATGATAAATATTTAAGGTGATGAAATACTTTAAACTCATTACATACATATATTGAAATATCACACCATACTCCATAAATATGTACAGTTATTATCAATTAAAAATAAAAATTGTAGGCCAGGGATACAGCTCAGTGGCACGTGCACCTGCCTGGCAAGTGCAAGGTCCTGAGTTCCATTCCTGGTACAAAAATAATGCAAAAATTATAGAGATAAGAAAACACTGTAAGAAGACTACAAATTTTTATCTCTCATGTATATAGGTGCAAAAATACTGAACAAAATTTTACCAAATCATATCTAATTATATATTACAGAATGAATCAACTAAGCAGGCCTTATTACAGAAATGCAAGATTGGTTTAATATTTGAAAATCAATTGATGTATAGCATCATAGTAACAAATTAAAATATTTAAAACAGTAAATTCTCCTGGAGATAGCACAAAAAGAGATCACTTGATAAAATGCCACATTAATTTTCAACAAGCTAAGGAATGGAAGGGAAGTAACTTAGTTTAAGGGACAGTTCAAATTTCTGCAGCTAGCATTATACTTGAAATTACTATGGTCTGCATGTTTTTGTTCCCCTAAAATTCAAATTTTGAATTCTTAATCCCTGTATAATGATTTTAGGTGCAACATTTGAGAACTAATGAGGCTTAGTTGAGGTTATGAGGAGGGAGCCCACATTATGAAATTCGTGTCCTCATCAGAACAGGAAAAGGCCACCTATGTCTCTTTGCTCATATGAAGATACAGTGAGAGTGGGGGAATTTGTCTTCAGGAAAGGGCTTCCACTAAACATGGAATCTGCCTGCTGATATCTTACTGCCAGACTCCCAAGTCCCCAGAACTGTCAAAAGTAAATGTCTGTCATTTAAACACCCAGCCTGTGGTATTTTGTAACAGCAGGCTGAGTATACTAAGGTGTAGGAACACTAAGTGATCAAAAAAGAGTACAAGCATGTCTGCTTCAATAATTTTGTTTTAATACTATAGTGGAGGTTTTACTTATCACAATAATGACAGAAAAAAGAAAGATAAACATGCAAATTTAATAAGGGGTATTCTGAATAAAGGTTATTAAAGCTCTTTATTTGAAGGCAATGTGATTATGTAGAAAAATTTTAAAATCCACTAAACTAATATAATAAGTTTACCAATATTTCAGGACATAAAATTAAGACACAAGAATCTATGATAAGGCCAAGAGTGGTGGTGCATGCCTGTAATCCCAGCACTTGGGAGGCTGAGGCAGGAGGATCTTTGTGAGTTCAAGACCAGCCTGGGCTATAAAGTGAGCTCAAGGCCAGCCTGAACTGCATAGCAAGACCCTGTCTGAAAAAGACCGAAAAAAATATCTAAAATATTTTGGACCTGTGAATATAGTTCAGCAGTAGAGCACTTGTGTAGCATGTACAAGGCCCTGAGCTCAGTCAACTGAACAGAAAAAATAAATCTATTATGTTTTGTATATACCTACAAACAAGCAGAAATGAATTTATAATATCAAACCATTAACTTTAGTATCAGGGAAAAGTACTGTAGAAGATCAATACAAAGGAATTTATTTTCATATACCTTTTAAAAACAAACAGAAAATATTAGAATAATAATATTAGCACTAATATTAAGAAAAATACTTAGGCTAAATCATATAAAATATGTTAATGACTTATTATAATATATAATGTATATATAATAAAACAAAACATTGGTGAGAGAAATTGAAGATCTACATTTATAAATGGAGAAATATCTCTTGTTCATGGGTTGGAAGACTGAATTTTATTAACATGTGCTTCTCTTCCAAATTGCTATATGTATTCAGTGCAGTCATAAGAAAACAGCCAATGGTGTTTCTTTAGATATTGGCAAAATAATTTTCAGGTTGATATTGATATGCAAATAATCTATAAAAGCCAAAAATAATCTCAAGGAATACCAAAAGTGGAGGACTGATACTACTTGCTTTTAAGACAAAGCTGTAGTAGTCAAGAGTGATAAATCAGTAGATCAGAATAGCAAGTCTCAAGAAATGCATACACATGGAATATTGATATTTGGCAGAGAGCATGTACAATGTAGTAAAGAACATGGAGTCACTTTAATAAATGATGCTTGAACAATTAAGTATCTATATGCAAAAAATGAACTTTGATCCACACATTATACAATATAAAATAATTAATTAAATTTATATATTTTATTTTTCAGTGCTGAGGATTGAACCCAGGGCCCTGTGCATGCCAGACAAGAGCTCATGCCAGACCACTGAGCTGCATCCCCAGCCCCAAAATAATTAATTAAAGATAGATCATTCATATAAATGTGAAATATAATATTCCAAGAACATAAGGAAAAGTCTTTTGGACCTTGGATTTGGTAAAGACTTCTTATAAATGACACCAAACACATGACACAGAAAGGAATACATTTATACACTGGACTTCATCAAAGTTAAAATCCTATGACTTTTGAAAGACAGTGTTTTAAGGCAGGAAAGTGCAAGGCGTTGACTTTAAAAAAATGCTTGACTATCTTACATCTATCAAAGACTTCAGAATATGTAAGGTGCTCTGAATGTTTAGTAATAAGAAAATAAACAACACCCAACAAAAATAAGCTAAGAGTTTGAACTGACATTTAATAAAAATATGAAAAAAAATTTAAAATATGTATAGATAGAAATAGAATCAACATCATTAGTAACTAAGAATATGTGTATTAAAAAGCACAGGATTGGGAGCTGGGGATTTAGCTCAGTGGCACAGCACCCGCTTGGCAGGCCGGAAGTCATGAGTTCAATTCCCGGTACCGGGAAAAAAAAAAAAGCGCAGGATGAGACTGCTTATTTCTGGTTGAATGTCTGACATTAACAAAAGGTCACACCAACAGTTGGAGAGAAATGTGGAGAATAACTAAAGCTGCTATACATTGCTGGAGGGAGGAGGAAGGAAAATAGCACAACTACCTGGGAAAAATGACAATTACTTATAAAATTCAATGAACATTCTCCTGAATATTTACCCAGGAATTATAGAATCATATGACCATAAAACAAAAAGAAATGAAGACCCCTTCTGTGTGGAAGAAGCTAAAGAAATAATATATATTTTATGGTTCCATTTCATAAACTGTTAAGAATTTCAAACTAGTTAATAGTGACAAGAAAACATTGATGATACCAAAGGGTAAAGGAATTACAAACAGGTATCAGGAATTACAAACAGGTATCAGGAATTTTGGAGGAGTGATGACTGTATTTTTTTATTAGATTGTGGTGGCAATGTCACCATTCTATACCTATAACAGAAAGTTTCACATGGCATACACTAAAGTATGCATTTTATTGTACGTTATAGATGCCTTAGTAAACTGTTAGAAAGAAATTATTTCAATAACCATATGAGTAGCATGAATCATCTCATTAGTATGTTGATTTATATATTAATGTAGAACAATGGCAGTATAATGCCTCATGTATTCCATCATTCTTGCAGAACAGGTCAGCTGGGAAATCTCACAGCTCCCTGCAATGATAGGTGCAGATGCTCAACATCACTGTATGCCTCTGTGTGTGGAAGGGATATGGTTGAATATTTTTCTCCATGCTTTGCAGGCTGCACGAGTTCAAAAACTATAGACAATCAAAAGGTAATTACTTTTTATTATGCTTTTTCCTCTCCGTTACCATGCTCACCTGGTAGACATTGTTTTTATTTTACTCCTGGCTCTATATAAATTTTTTCTTTTTTGTTTCTAATTTTGAAAATGGGAAGAAAATGCATTTCATGTTCAATGTACCTCCCAGTTTTATGCTTTTTAAATAGTATCATGTATCATGTACCTCTGATAATAGCAATGTTAAAAGAAACAATCAGAGAGAACATACTGTCCTCCACTCTTATTGTTTGTCTTAGTATCTGTGCTTCTCGTATCTAGTCCCCTAAAACCTGGATCATCTTTCTGAGGCCAAGGGGTTGAATAGGGCTATTGTTTTGATCCCATTTCACTTACTCTTTTCTCCTGCTGAGGAATTCAAAGTGTCTACTCTAAAATCTTGCTCTTTTCCTATTTCTACCCCACGTTATTAATTCAGGTATAGAAATCAGTCCTTTTACTGAGTACTGGAAATCACCATGTATAGAAGATTTTTATAAAGCATCAGATGTTCCAGAAAAGTAAGAGTTAGAGAAAATTCACGAAACAGAGCTGGGGGCTTCTTCCATACCCTGCTCTAATTCTATAAGGATTGCATTCCCACTGTCCTCAGAGAACTCTCATCCAAAACAGCAAGGAATGCATGAAACATGCCTTTAAGATATCTTTCAGTTGACACATTATTGTCATATTTGACTTATTGACTCACCTGTTTTTTTATTATTTTAGTCATACACTTTATTTATTCATATACTTTAGGTGGCATGTTAATTATTTATTTGTATAGTCAATATTCACTTATTTCTACTTCTTGCATTCCATTTTCATGCTTTCATATGGCGTGTCAGTTTTCTGTCACTGTAACAAATTGCCTCATAACTCAAATAATTTAGGAAAGTTTTATTTTGGCTTTCAGTTTCAGAGGTTGCAGTTCCTGGTTGTTTTATTCCATTGTTTCCTGCCCCATGGTTAGACATAGTCCAAGGAAGGTAGAAGGCATGGGGAAGTAAAACTGCTCCCTTCACAGATGTCAGGATGCAGAGAGGAGAGAGAGGAAGGAAGGTTTGGGGTTAAAACATACCCTTTGGAAGGGATACCTGAAGGAACCTACTTCCTGCAATTAGGCTGTATATGTCCTAAAGCGTCCACCACCTTCCCCAAAGCCCCTTTAGTTATAAATCCTTCAATGCATGACTCCACTGACAGGTTAGAGCCTTCCTGGTCCAATCTTCTTCCAGGGACCTCGCCTCTAACCATTACTTCAGTGGGGTCCAAGACGTCAACCCATGAGCATTTGGAGGACATTCCAGATACAACTGTAATATATGGGATTATTTTATTTTTGCTGAAGAATTTTATTTTTTCTCCATTTCTGAAAACCCTTCATTGGATATGGGACACTATACCTAGAGTTATTTTTCAGCAGGCTTTTAAAATATATCAATGCATTATCTTCTGCCTATGGAGTCTCTCAGCATTTTTCTGTTTATTTTTGACTTTCAGTAGTTTTCTTTGTTGAGTCTACATTTATTATTTTCAATTCATTTATATTGCTTTGGTGTCACAGAACCTGGAGTCTGTGGTTTATTGTCTATCAGTTGAAATTCTCAGCTATTTGACTCTCTCTGCCTCTTTTTTTGTGACCACTAGTTAGTTTAGTATTGCTACATAATGAATTGCCACAGTCTTCAAGGCTTTAGATACACCCAGTTATTGTCTTGAAGTTCTAACGTCAGAAGTCCAGACATACCATGACTCAGGCTGTGGATAGAATTCACATCTGTGTGCATTCATTCACTTTTTTGACCAAATAGAGTTCCTCTGGTTTGAAAATATGTGAAGTCTGTGTTTCCTTGTTAGCTGTCTGCTGGGGCTAGTTTTGACTTTAATAGGCAACTTACATTCCTGCACAGTGTATCTCTTCCATCTTCAAGGTTAGCACCTGAGAATCTCCCTTATGTGGCATGCTTGGAATCTCTGACTTGGGGAAGAGCCTGGTACATTTTAGGACTCACCTAATCAGGTGATATTTACTTAAGATAATTTCTCTTTATCTAATTCATTTGTCCCGATGACATACTTCAGCCATCGGACTAAATTCCACCAATTCACATTCCTAGGGATTATGTAGCTATGTACAATGGAGGGACTCTTGGGTGTCTCTGAATTCCTTCTAACACAGGCTATAAGTAGACCTTTCTAAACTATCTCATACTCTTTTAATGTTTTCTATATTGTTTATCTGTTTGAAGTTTTTAAATGTCAGTAACTTTCAGTGATCTGTCTACCAGTTATGAGTCCTCTGTGCTCTGGTATCTACTGAACTGCTAAAACTGTTTCTGATTTTCTTTTTTTCTTTTTTGAGACAATGTCTCACTGTGTAGTTCAGGCTGCCCTTGAGGCCACCACATTACCCAGGCTGGCCTCCAACTTGGGGCAATTCTCCTTTCTCTGCCTCCTAAGACCTGGGACTATAGGTTTGTGCTACCATGCCCAACTTTTTCTGAAACTTAAATTCATGTTTTATTTTCCAATTCTAGCATTTATATTTTTGTAGAATACAAATTTCTGATGAAATTCTAGATTATTTAAGCGTTTTATTCATTGTTTCTTGTGCTTTTCTAAAACATAATCTTAGCTGGTTTTTTGACAGTAAGTCCACTAACCATATCACCTAAAACTCTACTTGTACTATTGGTTTATATCTTAAATTTGAGCCAAGAAATTGTGAGTGTTGTGTATGAAAAAGATTGCTTAATATAGCTGCATATTAGATATTTGATTCTAATTTTCTTTGATGACCATTTCCATGGTATCTTATTTCTCTTCTTCATTTCCCATGAATTAGTGTCTATTCTTAATGTATCCTTTGGTACCAGCATATAGTATGGTTTTTGGGTTTTTTTTCTCCATTTCTGTTCATGTATCTTTTGCTGTAGTTTTTAGACTTATAACATTTAGTATAGTAGTTGCTGTGCTCTGATTTACATATATCTTCCTTTTTATTACTGGAATTGAATATATTTTACTGTTTCACTTCAATAGCATATACCTTTAATTTTCTAATTGGTGTTCTGGTTATTTGAGATTTTTAGGACTAATCATGTACTTCTGTGTAATAATCATCACCAGAGGCTCAGAAATTTCAGGTCATTCCTCATCTCCACATGGTTCTAATTTTACATATTCCTTTATTTGATCTCACCTTCCATCTGCCCCTAACTAACATTATGAATCTTTCTACCCAGTTCTCTGGGAATCAAAAATATATATCAGTAAAACTGTCACATGTTTTTCTAAAACTCTTCCTTACCTTTTTGCTCTGAATGTTTATGTCTATTCCTTTTTTGGTAGCTTTAAATAGTAGATGACTATTTTTCTCTCTTACTTGCCTCATACCATTGAGCCACAGAAGAGGAGAACATCCTCCCTATTCCTCTTTGATACTTTCAGACCGCTTTCTTTACCTTCTCCCAAACTTTGAAATTCATCATGGGGGTCTTTCAAATATTCTAAGTCTGTAATTTCTTACCTGCTTCTTTCGCAGTAGTCTTGTCTGCACTCTGCCTGATCCAACATCCTTCACAGGGCAGACCCTACGTCTTTTCTTGCTAGTATCTTTCCCCTTTCCATGATTTCAGTTTCAATTATTCACAGCCTCCTTTCTTCTAGCTCACTCTTTCTAGCACATGGACTCAATTCTTCAGGGTGAGAGCCTAATCTCTTGAGACCCCACTATGTGATCACTCAACCTTCTGCTCTTAGCTTAGTCTCCACGGCCTACAATCAGCCACTGTGCTGGGTCTCTCTTGTCTGCCCTGCAGATCCACTCACCACCTTTCTCTATCTTCCTCTCTGTCCAGGAATTTGAATTATAGGATGAGAGCCCCGTTGCCTTCAGGCTTCTAACTGTGTTGAGATAACAAGGAGTCATAGGAAATCAGAAAGATAGGAAAAGTGAGGTCATAGTGCTCTTTTTCCAGTTCCTTCCCCAGGATGCGCACTGACTGCCTCCCTGGACTGGAAATCTTACTTTATCTGAGGGAGGCCCTCACCACATGACTTTCTCCCTTTGGTGGCTGTTCCCACCCTAAGGCTTGCCAGCAAATCCTCTCAGATCTACTCTCTAAATTACTATGGCCTCTGGTAATTTTCATTTTTTACTTTTGTAACAGCTGGCTGCTGGCACCATTGTGTGACACTACACCTTCTTTTAATAGTGCGTGAACTATGTATCTGTCTGTTTTTAGCCTTGCCTTCATAGCCCAGGAGTCTCACAGCAGTCAGGTGATAGTTTAAAGTATTTCATTTATAGTCATATCCCTTTGATGGCTTCTGGTCATTAAGAAAAATCATATCCTCCCCCACAAATAATTTCTTTTTTCATTTTTAGTTGTCCCTCTTGCCAAATATGAAGGTTTTATAGCATGCTGATTTTGACCATATTGAGAAAACATTGTCTCAACAACTAGAAAGATGTTTAGAACACAGGCATTCACAAATTTGGTGGTCTGGATTATCTTGATTACTTTTCTCTCATTGCTGAGACAAAATACCTGACACCCGAAATGAAGGAAGGAAAGGTTTATTGAGCTCACAGTTTGTGGAGGTTTCAGTCCATACTTGGCTGGCTCCAAGGCAGAGTGGCACATGGCAGAGGGCAACTGTTCAAGGTGGCTGAAGATAGCAAAAGCAGCAAGAGCAAAAGGGGAGGAGTGGTGGCAAGTAGCCTCTTTCTCTCCCTTACATATGTAAACTACCCATCCCAGGGTGGGTATAGCACTCACACCCAATCAATCATAAACTCTAAAAGCCCACCCCATGACTGCATGAGGATTTGGGGGGACATCCAGACACAAACCATAGCAAGATGAATTTTAATTTGCATATCTACCTACATCTGTCTCTCAACATAGCCAGTAAAAACTTAGCAATTTCTCCAAAGATATGGATGTGATTTTTATGCTGTAATTTTATTTCTTTTATTGTAATTTTCTGAATGACTCAGATTTAAACCATCTTTGCTATCTTGTATTCTTTCACTAGTAATTTATTTTTATATTTTTTAATTTATTGGGTTTTTTTTCTAATTTTTTAATTTAGGATATATTCAGTGGATTACTAAATTGTTTACTGATCTATCTACAAACTCTGCTTAGATCTTTAAAAAAAATTACTGATTTATTTTCCTTAAATAACCAACCCTAAAATAGCAAAACTTCAAATTTTCATGTTTCCTATTTGGAGTCACAGTATCACTTTTTTCTTCTTTCCTTTTTCTTTTTTGTCTTTTTGAGACATGGTCTCACTATGCAGTTCAGGCTGGCCTTGGGCTCACTTAGTAGCCCTGGCTGGTCTCAAACTCGCAGCGATCCTCCTGCCTCAGCCTCCCTAGTGCTGGGATTATAGGTGTGTGCCACCATGCCCGGCTCACCTTCTTTCACTGACTCTACACGTGCTTTCTCTTTTGCTCCCCTTTCTTCATTTAAAAAATAATTCGTTACAAATGTGTCATTATGAAAATAAATATCCAGGTTTATTATTCTATTTTAATTATTTTTCTATGCTAATATGATTGTAATAGCATTGAAATTTTTCTTTGCTTTTAAACCACTCTAAAATATTTTTATATGACCCTAAAAATGTTTTGGGACTCACATATTGTACCTTCTGGGCCTAATAATATTCTTGTCATCATTTGGTAGGAAAGAAAGCATCATCTTTTCTACCTGGTTCCAGAATCCTCACAGTAGAAGAGCTGTCCATATTTCAAATGCCAGCGATAATTTTATTTTATTCATTACATTACTTCTATTTTCCCTTAAGTTTTGCAGCTGTCCAAATATTACAGAATTGAACATAAATATTTTGAAGACATTTTCTTAAATTAGCAGGACTTTTTGTAACTATAGTTACTACACAGATACACTAACCTTTATCAAGTAAAATAACTGGGATCTGGGGCTGAGGATTTAGCTCAGTGCCACAGCACCTGCCTGGCAAGCACAAGGTCTTGAGTTCAATTCCTGATACCAGAAAAAAAACCAAAAGGAAAAAAAAATAACTGGGCTCTACCATTAATATTTTACTTCTAAATAATGACTGGTAGGTATAGCATGAAGATATGAATTGAAGTTACTGATTTAAGTTTTATTTTATAATGAATATTTATTTCATGTATCTAATTCTGAACCATGATTTTCTGTCTTCAATATCCACAGAAGTACTATAACTGTTCATGCATTAAAGAAGGATTAACAACTGCTGATGCACATGGTGATTTTATTGATGCTGTACTTGGGAAATGTGATATGTACTGTTACACATTACCTTTGTTTTTTGCATTTATTTTTTCTGCAATTGTTTTCTCTGGTTTTTGTGGTGTACCAATCACTCTGATTATCTTCCGGTATGTATACAGTATCCATAGTTATTATTCATTTGACACATAAGAAAGTTAGAAATACTTTACATTATTACAGTTAAATAATTTTCTCTGTGCTTCATGATAGCAAATACAGAAAATGAAATTGTACAGAGCTATACAAATACACAAATAATTTCAATTTAATTGTTCTGAAGCCTATATTAACTGAGAAATGAAAGCAGAGTAAGGTCTAGAGTTTTGTTAACAGTAATTTTCTAATGTCATTTTTCTGGTTTTGATACTATACTTTGTTTATACAAGATTTCATCTTTCGAGGAAGCTTCATGGGTGTATTGATTTTGTAATACTTCTAAACTTCTTATGAGACTATAATACTTTCTAAATAAAAAATAAAACACATGCAAACACAGACACACACATAAATGTATTACTACATAAGAAGATATACATTCTCCTTAAGTTAATTCATTAATTTAAATCTAATAACGAAAGTAGCAAAAGATTTATTAGAGAAAATGACCTGAACCAAGTTCTTATGGGAAAAAAAAGCAAGAGTATCAGAATATGAAACAGTGATGTGAAACAAAGGTTTAGAGTTATAAAGTAAAATACACCACAGAATCTTAATAATTAAGAATAGTGTTAATTTATAAACATATTGACAGTAAATCTAGCAATAGTCCCTCACTCTTTATATTTTGCATCTTATTGTGCATTTATTTTAAGCTTTTAAATAGTGACTATAGGGGCTGGGGATTTAGCTCAGTGGCAAAAGCGCCTGCCTGGCAAGCGCAAGTTCGTGAGTTCAGTTCCCGGTACCGGAGAAAAACCAAAAACCAAAAAAAATTTAAAAAAAATAGTGACTATAATCATTCAAGATCCAGCAGGAAAGTGGGACCAAATTCAAACTAGGACAATCCAAGGAAAGTAGCATGAAATGGTTATTTAAATTTTGGCTTTTGTGTAGTAAATGACAAAGCACATTGTCACCTCAGGCCCAGAGGGAGCAAGGGATGGGAAGGAGAAGTGTAGGGTGGCCAGCTTTGCAGTGTGAGAACAGAGACCTTGATCTCGTTCACAGCGCCCCATTGCCAGAACTCAGTTCAAGCCAGGAAGCAAGACACCCTGCTGATGTGTGCAGTGCAGGTCAGCCTTCCATGGCAGAGAGCAAGTAGAGAGGGATGGGAAGGGAAGTCCAGAAGGACAAAAAGAAAAACCAGGTGTGGTGGCGCACACCTGCAATCCCAGCACTCGGGAGGCTGAGGCAGGAGGATGGTTATGAGTTTGAGGCCAGCCTGGGCTACAAAGTGTGTTCAAGGCCAGCCTGAACTGCATAGCGAGACCTTGTCTTCAAAAGACCAAAAAAAAAAAAAGAAAAAAAAAATCCAGAAGATCAAAAAGGAACATAAAACAATGGTGTACTTGGCCAAATAAAGAAAGATAAGTACAAAAGTTAGGGCTTAGTTATTTCAGAAATGTTAAAAAAGACTAGGGCAGAAAATTTAAGCCATGAAATTCTCCTGAAGAGTAGCGAACTTCAGAATAGATTTGCAACAGGCAGAAAATGGAGAAACCAGTTGCAACCCTTTCACAGGTCAACTGGCTAGAGATTCTTTATGTAACTCAGGTACAAGAAAAAGCCTTGAACCCAGAATACGTTATCTACAGCTAAAACTATTATTGCTATTTGCTTCTAGGACTATACCTGAGCAGCTCCATTCTCTCGCCATCGGTATAACCTATGTGATTATAAGAATATTCGGTAAGGAGTTTTAGCATGTTTGATATATAAAGTTATTCTTTTTTTGACAAGTGTATTTTTTTGTGTGTGTTGGGAATAGAACTCAGGACCTTGCACTTGCCAGGCAGGCACTGTGCCGCTGAGCTATATCCCCGACTGACAAGTGTATGTTTACAAGTATATTTCAAATTATAAGTTAATAATGAATGTAAAATGTCACAAAACAAGTGAATGAAAGAACTGCTTTGAAAAATTTAAGAGGCCATTCATGTAAAGACCAGACAGTTAAGGTAATGCCCATCCTGCTGTGCAAACTGTGCATCAATTATATTGGATTTGATGAGACAATGCATATTTGATATGAAGTATATTCATCATGTGATAGAGATGATTTGGAGAGTTAATGAAAACACCTGTATAAACACAACGTCTTTGTGTTTCTTGCACGTTTGGAAAGACCCTAAACTAGGTTGGTGCTTTTAAATATTTTCATCACCAAAAACACTAAATCTGAGGGCTTTATTGATTTATTTGTTAATAAGAACAACTTGGGATTTCTGGGGATAGTGTACATTTTTCTTCAGGTCTTCTCAAATAGCAAAGTCCGTATTTCAAATCCACACTATGGCTGTATTAGAATCCCTTGATTCAAGAAGTTGATAAAAATATAGTGGGATAAATAAACAAGGTTGGACTGAAGACCGAGAGGCATAGAGAAAAAGAAAATAGACAAATAAGTCTGGCTCTGATAGGAACCAGAGTAATCATTCTATATATAGCCATATCAATATATGTAATTAAAATTAGTTTTTTTGTTATTTGTTTGTTTGTTTGTTTTTTGAGTCTTGCTGTGTAGTTCAAGCTGACTTTGAACTCACGATATAGCCGAAGCTGTCTTCAAACTTGGCAGCGATCCTCCTGCCTCAGCCTTCTGAGTGCTGAGAATACAAGTGTGCACAACCACACCAGGCAAAATTAGCTTTTTTTAAGTAAGAAAAATTAGAAAAATTTTTTTCAGCGTTGAGAAAGGATAAAGTGAAATGATTATATGCTTATAAGCTCTCTCTAGACAAAGCAGAGTCTTGGCACTAGCGAATTTTAAGCAGAGCATAGATATTACATGATGTACATTTAAAGATAACTGTTTTCATAGAGACAAATAAATATAGAAGATAAATGTGGAAGAAAAGTAAAGGGATGCTTTTGCTGAAGTTTAAGAGTTAAATCAATTTAGAATCAAAGGTTTGAGTAGAGGTAGAAATAAACACCCAACATATGTTTGGAGTTTGTGCTACAAAGATTTATGATGGATTGGAATCAGATGATGAGAAATAAAAATACTAAGTAGTGGACCTAGATTTTTCCCCTTTTAGCAACTTAGCAACTACAAGAAAGAGTGCTATTATTCACTACTAGGAAATCTAGGTAATGATTATTAGCAGGCATCAAGATTTATGGGGAAAGGGGACCTTGATCAGTTTTAAGGAAGATGGTCGATCAGTGGAGATGTCAGTTCTGAGAAACTAAATCTTGTATCTTTCATATGGCTGTATGTGCCAATACTGATACACTTTTAGTTGAAAATGTGAGTAGATGTTCTTTGTGAGAGCATATGAAGGCTTCTTTCATGAGTCACAGCTATTCCTTAGGGTCCAAGGCCATCTGAATCTGGGTTAAGATAACATAGCAAAACATATGCATTTTGGTTTTTTTCTCAACATCTTGAAAATATCATTACCCACTCATTTTTCAGTCATTGAAAATTTTACAATCATGTATTTTTGAAGATGCACTGATTTTATTAAATCAGTGTTTCTGTTCTAAATATTTATGCCTGAGTTTTTCATGTAAAAATCAAGTATCTGTAGATGTCTTTTTTCTAATTAACAGCATGTACCAAATCTAAAAAATTCCAATACTTTTATATATTTAGGAATAAGGATTTTTTGAAAACTGACATCATTTCCAGGGACTAACAAGACTATATATAAGTATATTAATAAATCATTCATATTCATAATTTTAAGTGATATGTTTACAGTCAAGATTTTTTGTATATGTTTTAGCCTGAAATTATTATGACCCTGACAAATGGTGCTTTGTGAAAAATTTGTAATATTTCAATATTGTTTTAGGGACAATTCCTGGGCCATTACTTTTTAAAAAAACAGGAGAAACCTCATGCACCTTTTGGGATATCAGTAAATGTGGACACATGGGACGTTGTTGGGTCTATAACAAGACAAAAATGGCATTCATTTTGCTTGGAATATGTAAGTGATACATACTGTAGACACAAATACAATTCTTTTCAAAACATGCCTATTTATAGTAAGATAGAATAATAATAAAACATGCGCAAATAAATGCTTTGATGATTAAAGAAAATATATGGTTGTTTAGAGAATATTTTAGAAAAAATAGTACACAGTGTACAATTTGTATCAATACTTGAGTCACTACATTAAATATACTATAGTTTTGTGTTATCTCAGAAGAAAGTGATGACATTTGGCAGATTTTCAAGTAATTCATGAGGTAATTTTATGTATCTTCAAATTGTCTGACCTTGTGATCTTTTCCTTTTCTATTGTAAAATATTAAAATATTTGTAGAAAACATCTTACACCCTGAAAGAACATCAAGATAAAGTTATCCTACTCAAATCTGGACTTATAAATAATTTTAACTCTAGTATAATAATTAAAGAGTAAAATTACAAAAATAATTATAGTAACCTTTAAAGTAATATATGATGCATGAAAGATGAAAATTATAAGTGAGAAAAAATGAGGAAAATTACAGAAAAAGTTATAAATTTAAAAAGGAAAGAATTCAAAGCATGTCAGTGCAAAAACCCATCAAATCACAAAGGAAAGCAGCAAAAAAGAAGATTGGAACAAATAAACTACAAATCAGAAATTATAAATTGGCAGAAGTAGATTGTTATTTATTCAAAGTTATTTTATTTTTTATTTTTTATTTTTTTTGGTTTTTCTCCGGTACCGGGAACCGAACTCACGACCTTGCGCTTGCCAGGCAGGCGCTTTGCCGCTGAGCTAAATCCCCAGCCCCTTCAAAGTTATTTTAAAAGTAAACAGAATAAATTCACTAGTAAAAGTCAGAGGAAGTGAATAAAGTGAGTAATGTATACCTCAGAGAACTAGAACAAGGGCAAACTAAACCCCAAATCAGCAGAAAGAAGTAAAAGGCCAGAAGATATAAAGGTAGTAGAGAGTAGAAAGGCAAAAGATCAGTCAAGACAATTTTTTTTTACAAAGATAAACACAAGGAAACTTTCAACTAGATTAATGTTCAAATAAATAAAAATTATAAAAGACAGTGGAGAGATTATAACTGATACATTGGATATAAAAGGACTAGATGACTATTGTGAATAATTATATGCCAACAAATTGGACAACCTAGATAATATAGACAAATTTCTACAAAAGACAACCTAGTAAGACAGCATCATGAAGAAATAAAAAAATGAACATATTGGTAATGAAAAAAGATACTGAATCACTAATTCTAACCATGATAACCAAAGCAATACAAACACACTCCAAGAAAGGAAAATTACAGGTCAGTATGACCGATGTACACACATGCAAAATTTCTCAACAAACTGACCTGAAGAACTTGTTAAAAGGATCATACACCATTATCAGGTGAGATTTATTCCTGGGATACCAGGATAGTTCAATGTGCATGATCAATCAATGTATTGTACTATAGTCAGAAATTGAAGGTTAAAAATCACATGATAGTCTCAATAGATGCATAAAAGATATTTGACAAAATTCTGCATCATTTCATGATTTGAAACTCTCAAGAAATGAGGTAGAAAAAAATATAAAGGTAATATATAACCAATCCATAGTTAACATCATATCTGTGAAAAGCTGAAACTTTTTCTATAACATCAGGAAAAAGATGAAGCATTACTCTTCCACAACTCAGAACAATTATGCAAGGAAAACAATAAAGTTATCCAAATTAGTAAAGAAAAATTAAATTTTGTTTGTAGATGACAAAATCTTATATGAGGAAAATCCTGACTTCACTAAAGACTGTTAGAATTAGTAAGTAAATTCAGTAGGGCACAAACCAACATACAAAGATCAACAGTATTTTATAAACCAAAAAGAAATATCTCAATAGATAAAGGAAACATCTCATTTACAATAGTGTCTCCGTAGATAGAAAGCTCTGGAGTTGAAGTGTAGATTTTGATCCCCAACGTGCTTGTGTGATTAGAGGCTTGGTTCCCATGGTGATAGTTCTGAGAGGTGCTGTGGAACCATGAAGAGGTGAGCCCTGGTGGCAGGTGCTTGGATGACTGGAGCAGGAGGTAGTTCTCAAGTAGTCACTTGGCAGTTCTCATGTGACCCCTTGGTAGTTCTCATGAGGAGGTTTTTACGTTGCTGTGCTTCCAGCCTCCTCCTGCCATTTGGACTTTCTGCCTCTAAAACTAAGAGCTACATAAATCTCTTTACAAGTACTGTAGCTTGTATCAAGTATTTCCTTACAGTAGTGAGGTCTGGTTGGAGCCTTGTAAATAGGACCTAAGAAAGAATGCAGTTCAGCAGGAAAGATATTAAATCTTGAAGATCCATTTGTGGTACCCTCTGAGCACTGTGCTGAGGGGCAGATCCACGAAGCCTCAGGCAGCACTACCCCTATGGCATGGCTGGTCTTGGACTCATGATTTTCTTTTGCATGCTGCCTGCAGCTTTTTCTGGTGGGACTGCACGTTGTTGATCTCTGTGCCTTTCTGCTGTTCCCACTGGCTAGTCATTCAGATTCTCCTTTAAATTCTTGGTGGAAGCCGTCAGGACCCCATAACTCTTACATTTTGTGCATCTGGAAACCTAATGCCATCTGAATGTGATATAGGTCATATGATATAGGGATGATATAAGACCTCCAAATGATCCAAATAAAATCTCAACCTGCTAAATGTTTGATGTGTCCAGTTCATGTTGTCTAAAAATCCAAGAATGATGAGTTCTATTCCCTGCACCAAAAAAAAAAAAAAAGAAAGAATTAAAAATCCAAGACTGAGTTCTAGGAACAACAGAGGTTAGGAGTAGGAAATAGTTATTGGCACAAAGAAAGCTTCTGTCTAAGAGGGACAGAAGGGTCTCCCAAGTGGGAGTTCTGGGAAACCTGCTTCTCAAGTTAAGGTGGGTGTAATGACATAGGGTGTATGATAGAGTTAACTAGTAAGATTACAAGTATAGTCAGTTAGGTAATATTGATCCAATGGAAAATCACAAAGTAGGTGTAAGAAGGGACAAAACTATGGTCAACCAATAAGATCAGGAGTATAGTCACTTGGATAATATTGATTAAATGGGGATCAAATGGGGATGCAAAGTCATGTAGCAACACACATGGGCCCAACAAGGACTTTTCTGGAAGGTGTGGGTTAAGGAGGTTTTGGTCATCCAGCCAAGGTGATTGATGCCTATTTAGAATGTCAATCACTGCTGTTCCTCTCTAGGGGAAGAATGTGGGTGTAGGCATTTCTCTGTCCGGAGGCCTGACCTGCAGTGAATGCACCTCTAGCCACAGCTGTCTTCTGCACTGACCTCTCCAAGGCCCAGCCCTGTCTGATTGCCTATAATATTTCTAAATAACTTAGCTGTCTGTAATACAAAGACCAAATGCTTCCATATAATGCTAGTAATATATAAACTTTGAAACGTGAAACATAAAAAAGAGCAAACCAGGGCTGGGGATTTAGCTCAGTGGCACAGCGCATGCCTGGCAAGTGCAAGGTCGTGAGTTCGATTCCCGGTACCAGAAAACAAAACAAAACAACAAAAAAAAGAGCAAATCTACAAAATCAATTAAATTTTCTATAATATTTCTATGAGTATTTGAAAATAATATATGTCTCAGAGATTAAAGTTGTCTGCAATGATTTAAACAGGTTCCCCTTCCTACTAATACTTACAGTTTGGAAGTACAATTTATTTTTATGTTTAGCAATTAACATGCTCTATAAATTAGCAACACATTTTGCATTGGGAGAGGCTGTCAGCCTGAGAAATTGAAAAAGTTTTCTAAGAATTTTAAAATCTCCATTGAGTAATTTGGTATACATTTGTAACATTATTATATTTTATAGTTAAGGGATTTATACTTAGATATGTACTATACTTTTCTTTGATAATAGCACTTCTACACAAATGTTTTTGTACAAAATAAATTTATAGTATAATTATATTTTTTTAAAATTCAGGTTCTCTTTTCAAAATATGCACTATCTGTTTTACTACCATTGGATTTTACAAATACAGCCATTTTATAAAGGAAAAAAGAGGCATCCTGCAAGATATACCTTGGAAGCCTACAAAAACAAAAAGAAAGAAAAGGACTCGCTTTTAACTAGGCCTTCATCATGTAAGAAATTCATATTTTCAATCATTGAAACATTGTATTAATAGATTTTAAATAATGTAGTTGTGTTTTTAACAAATGAGTGTGCTTCATGTAATCCCATATGTATTATTATATGTTGAGAACAAATATAATAATACAGTATTTGAATTTTTGAAAAGATATTGGATACACATAGAACTTTAAATAGAAAATAATGATTTGAGTACGAGAGAAGATTGAAGTGGAAATAGGAAAAGGTACATATGTTAATTCTGTCTGCAGCAACAGTTATGGACTTGGCCTTTGTAGGATTTCTAAAACTTTTTATTGGTACATATTTTCAGTGCACAATGATTATATTCTTGGTGGGGAGTTGGTACATGCACACAATACACCTTAATTCATCTTTCATCTTCTTCCCCTCCTCTCTCTCCCCTACCCTCCATCTCTCCATCCCCTTCCCATTTGAGAAAGGTCTCTCTCCTTATTCCCTATAATTTATCTTTTATTTTGCTCTTTAGTTATATTTTGGGTTTCTCATGTTTAAAAAACTATATGATATTTAAGTTTGTATACCTGATTCATTTCACTTAATATTATGGTATCCATTTTCTATAACTGACTCAAGTTTATCCTTCTTTATGACAGAGTAATACTTTGTTGTGTATAAATGCCACATTTTCTTTATCCAGTCATCTCTTGATGGACATGTAAGCCACTTCCAAGATTTAGCTCTTATGAGTTGTGCTGTTATAAACAGGGCAATGAATTATCACTGCAATATGGTGTCTTTAACTCTTTTGGGAAGATAGTTAATATGAGAATGACTAAGTTGAGTGGAATTTCTATTTTTAGTTTTATAAGGAGTCTCTCTACTAATTTCCATAGTCACTGAGCTAGTTTATATTCTCATCAGTAATGTAGAAGAGTTCCTTTTCCCCTCTGCAGCCAGCATGCATTATTATTTGATTTCTTGATGAAAGCCATTCTTTCTGGAACAAAGTGGCTTCTCAGTGTTGTTTTCATTTTCATTTCTCAAATGGCAGGAGATATTAAACATTTTTTCATGCATTTAATGGCCATTTGTACTTCTTCTGAGAAGTGTCTATTCATTTTAGTTGCCCATTTCTGTCTGGGTATTTTATTTTAGGAGGGGGCTAATCTCTACATATTCTAGATATTGGTCCTCTGTCTGAGAAATAACTGGCAAAAATTATTTTCCATTTAGTAGGCTGTCTCTTCATCCTTGTAGTTCTTCCTTTGCTGTGCAGGAGATTTTTAATTTGTTATGATCCCACTGGTTGGTTCTCAGAGCTGTTTTCTTTTCCAAAAGCACTTGCCTATGCCCGTGTCACCAAGACTTGTGCCTGTACTACCTCCCAGCAGATTGTTTCTTCTCTATAATGTAGATATTTGATCCATTTTGATTTTAGGGTAGCACCTACTTTAGATAATTTTTTTTTGTTATTTTTCTTTTGGATGTTGATGTTTATTTTTGAGAAGTTTTTCTAAATGCCATTAGATTTCCCAGTACAGTTCTTATAATAAAAATTTGAATAATTTACATTTATTTTCCTAAAGAAGACTATTTTAAGCATTTAAAAAGTTAACATTTTATTTATTCATGATTTATTTATTCATTTATTCATTCAAGAAGATGAAAGATGAATTAAGGTGTGTTGTGTGCATGTACCAACTCCCCACCAAGAATATAATCATTGTGTACTGAAAATATGTACCAATAAAAAAATTTATTCATATTTTATTTATTCAGTTAACATTTTATTTATTCATTTTATTTTATTTATTTATTAAGCATTTGATATGAAGATGTTTCTCCAGAAAACTTCTCTGGTCAACTGACCACTGTGCAACACCTGTTTTCCTGCTTCTTATATATTTCAATAAACATAAAATTCAGTATGAGAGGCCAGGGATATAGCTCAGTGGCACAGCACCTGCATGGCAAGCACAAGGTCGTGAGTTCAATTCCCGGTACAAAAAAAAAAAAAATTAGTATAATTGTGTACCTCCACATTTTTACCTTCACTTAAATTTTATTGATAAAAATATTAGATAATATGAGTTAATATCCATGTGGTACTTTTATATTTAATTTAATAATCATAACTATTTTTTGTGAGGAAATATTTACATGTGAATGCAGAAATTTCGTTTATGAAAATTTTATTAAGTAAAAATGTGTTTCTGAAGATTATTTTGGCTATACTTTTTTCACAAATCAGTATATATTTATTAAAATTATATTTTTCAAACATTGGATACAAACCTGATGGTTGTATAACAGAGAGGTTTCAGTGTTTCCTTTTTCTCCTGGGGGAAGTAATTAACTCACAAAATCTCTTTTTTCATTCATATTAATCAATAATCCTGCACCATGTGCAAAAAATTGATATTCTTATAGTCATAGCTGGCAGAATTAAAGCAGGGAACATACAACATGCTGTGTTTTTTTCTTCCTTAACTTCAACATGCACTTTAAAATCTATAAAGTAGTCTTCTTGTTAAATTCTGTCTGACTGTCTCTTCTCTGAACCAGCAGGATTGTTGAAAATCTGAGAGTCAGAGTCTGAAAACAGATGTGTCTCTTTTAAAGATGCCAGAAGATGTGTCGCTGTATCTTACATTCAGAAGAGGAAAATCACACAATGTTTACCTGTCTCAGAAAAGAACTTATAGTGATTTATATTTTAATAATAAAGTACCTTCTTCTAAGGAATTTCTGATGTTTTTATGTGTGTAAGACCTTGACATATCATTTCATAATAAAAGAGAACTAAAGTTCTCTTTAGAGAAAGAACAAAGAGAACTAAAGTATAATCACTTCAAATTTTGTCCTTAGTATTCTAGTGTCTACAAATATTGTTTGAGAATTTATAACATGAGAAAATAAGGTAAAATAATATTCAGGTCCATGTGGAAGATACTTGTAATAGTGTCTGACTGGATGTGTTTGTAGATACATGTTACCTATGTTTCTAGATCTGTGTGACAAACAGAATATGGGAGAAATAATGGTATGCTGCTTCCAAGAAAAAAGAGTGTGGTTGTGTGTGGTTGTGTGGGCCTCAAGCAAATGCATAATAAAAGTATAATTAATGAGACAGTAATGCAAAGACCTTAAATACAGATTCCTACTGCAACAGAACATGTGTTTCTTTATCACAAACTAATGCATAGGGCATTGGTAAGTGAGAAGTGGTAGACATATAACTCAGTATTTCCTTTGGTTAAAACCAAATTAACTGCTTTTGAAATAACCAAAGAAAAGTTACTCCATATCAAAGGGTGATTTAGCAATAAAGGGAGTTATAAAAATTGTTAGAAATCCATCAAAGGCCATTTCTATGATTTGTTTTGGAATGGTGCATTGCTTTACAAATGATTGTGTTTCTGACAATATTGATATATCTAGTGAAGCTACAAATACCAAAAATCTCCAAGATTACGGCCAGATTTTTAGCTTTGATGAAATTAATATCTTTGAGGCATTTATATGCCAAAAGATGTGTATCCTTTTATTATAAGTTGACACTGTGGTTGTAAAAGTTTACAGGGCACACAGTAATATTATGACTTGTGAATACAATGTGGAATAAGTAATCAAACAAGTCAAACATATCATTCATTTCTCCTACATCTAAAAGATGAAAGCATACCCTAGTGCTTAAACCTATAAGGAACTGACTGATTGTGGTGCTGGGCAAAAACACTATTTCTATGACTTAATTGTGCTAATATCTATTAAGATTGAGATAAATTTTTTAGGATTCTAGCTACAAATTTGAATACTTTTTGAATGGTTTTCCTCTAAAATATCTTCTACTTAATATAGCTTTTCTCTTGATACTTAGTTTTGTCTAAAGGAACATTGTAAAAGAACATATACAAAGTATTTTAGTGGAAATGCTAAAATTAAGAGTTTATTTGTGCACTTCAAGTGCACTTGTTTAAATTCTTAAGGTACTTACTCTGAAAATCTTCCTCAATATTTTTCTTTTCTGAATTTTTCTTTTGTCTGGAGTTGCAAGTTTCCAATTCATCGCATTCAAAGTTCTACATGCATTTTAGAAAGTATCAATTTTTTTGTTTATCACTTGCTTACTTTCTAGTTTCTGCATTGTCAAGAGTTTTTCATATTTATTGAGCTACTTTTGTATAGCAGTCATGGAGAAAGAAAAGTGTGTTTAATTAGTCATCTGTTTCTAATTTCTTTTTATAAGCACTCCTTATATTTTTACATACTCTATTTTAATTTAGTTTGCAATTTTTCACATATAGAATAATATAGGATTTCTAAAATTCCAATCTAAGAATACTTTCTAAGTCTGAAGATTTGCTATTGAAGTTATTGGTAACAAATTCATAGATCTGATTATTGACAGAGTGTCATGAAAAATATTAACTGCAGTTCTTTCCTATTGATTGCATTTTTTTTGTAGCATGATCTTGCCATGTAGTGCAGGCTGGCCTTGAACTCACTTATTGTGCCCAGGCTGCTCTTGCCCTCTTGGTAATCCTCCTGCATCAGCCTCCTGAGTGCTGGGATTACAGGTGTGCATGTTACAGCATGTTCAGCAAGGAAAGCATTCACGAGAGACCAAATGTGCGAACAAAAGCATTTTATTGAAGCACATGACCCAAACTCCTGACCAAGAGTCAGAAACCAAGATGTTGGGCCTCAGAGAACTTTGTACTGGGTTTTTATACATTTACAAGTAACCATGGTAACCACATTACCTCATTTTGGAATTTTACAAAATGCCAAATCATGGTCACAAGGTTCACATTTCCCAGAGATTTGTTGGTACCGTTAAATTTTAGCTTACCTACAACTTGTTTTAACTATTTATTTCTCATTTAATAGCTCTGTTTTCCTTTCATGGTTGATGGGTAGCTCTAAGGGAGGGAGTGGTGGAGTTAGTTCATCTAGTTGAAGTGACTTCTAAAAGGGAGTTACAGAAAGAAAATGGAGTCTCTCTTGCTCTATCATGTACCACCATGTCTGACCTGACTACATATTTTAATCAGTACTCTAAACTCAAAATATTCACCTATTATTCCAATTTGAAGGGCATATATATAAATTAACAGAAAATGTATTGTTATGTTTTGTAGCTAGATATCACCTCAAATTCACATGTGGTCATAATGAAGGTTTTCAGAGGTAGCCGGTGCTGGTGTGTGTGATGCTGGGATCAAGGGTGTGTGATTACTAAATTACTCCACTGACTCTTTGGAATCCATGTGGGCAGGATTAAGGGGTCCCTGGGTGTGAGTGCTACCTATCTTAAGGGTGGGTAGGCTGAATAAGACATAAGAGACAGAAAGAGGGTTGCTTGTTACTTGCTTATTGCTGTTGCTGCTTGCTTTGGCTGTCTTCTGCCTGCCATGAACTGTTTCTCCTCTGTGATGTCCCTTTACAATGCATACCCCTCCCCCGTGGAGCCAGCTGATTAGGTATTGAAACCTCTAGAACCTGAGCTGAAATAAATCTTTCCTCCTTTAACTTTGGGTGTCAGATATTTTGTCTCAGCAATGAGGAAAGTAACTAAGGTATGTATATTTACTTTTATCTAAAAAATGACATGATAAAGTGAGTATGTTTTTAAATATGTACATATATCGGTCTGTTTCAAAGATGGATGGTGGAGAAATCTCTTTTGTCCAAAATTAAATCTGGAGATAGAACACCTGCAAAAGTTGAAAAGATTTATATTTATTGATTGTACAGTAAAAGAAAAAAATAACAAACAATGAAGACATATTTGATATTAAAGTCTGTAGCACTTCATTAAGGAAAATTAAGACAAATAAATTAAAAGATATATCTATCTATTGGAGGACTGAAGATTATGATTTTATTTCTACTCATTTCCATAATTCATTTCAATTCCAAACAAATGTAAATATTTTTATGGTACAAACTAAGAAGCTAATTGAAAACATTATGAAAATATAAAGGACTTTAATACTATAAAGGAGTTAATCTCATATAGATTTTCTTTATACTTTTATTAGTACATGTTTATGGTACACAATGATTACATTCACTGTAGGGACTTGGTACAGAATACATTTTGATTCTCTTCATTTTCCTCTCTTCTTCTATCCCTTTTATTTTTGTAGCATCTTTTTTTTTTTAATACTGAGGTTTAAATCCTAGGCCTCATACATTCCAAGTTCATTATCCCAACTGTATTTATTTACCTTATAAAACCTTTAAAGTTAATTATCGTATATACAGATTAAAATTTATTTATTTACCTTATAAAACCTTTAAAGTTAATTATCGTATATACAGATTAAAAACCAGACTAACAGGCCAAGAATATGTAAACTATGTAATACAATTGTCCCAAGCCAAGGTACACTGCACTGGATTACAGTGCAGGCAATCTCTTTCTTTCTTTCTTTCTTTCTTTCTTTCTTTCTTTCTTTCTCTCTTCTTCTTTTCATTTTTTTATTTTAAAGAGAAAGGAGCAAAAACAAAGACAAGAGCAAAACAATACAAAAACTAAAAATTATAAGGAATTTTTCTTTTTTTCTCATTTTGTCTATTATCTATCATATATATATCATATATGCTACATTATCTCTCACATACATTTATGAGACAGCATTTCATGTAAATGAAACCCTGCAATATTGAAGCTTGTGTGTCTGAATTACTTCACTTAATATTGTGCTCTCCAAGTGCATCCATTTTCCTATCAGTGACTCAAGTTTATCCTCTTTTATGTCAGGATAGTACTCCATGTGTATAAATACTGCATTTTGTTTATCCATTCATCTACTAATGGACATATAGGCTGTTTCAAAGATTTATCTATTATGAATTGTGCTGCTATAGACATGGATAGGCACACATCACTGTGCTATTATTGTAGATTGTCTTTCCTCTTACTTTCCCTTTCCTTCCCTCCCCTTCCTTTCCCTTCCTTCCCTTCCCTTCCCTTCCCTTCCTTCCCCTTCCCTTTCCTTCCTTTTCCTTTTTTTTTAATACTGAGGTTTAAATCCTAGGCCTCATACATTCCAAGTTCATTATCCCAACTGTATTTTGATTAGATTGTAAGAATTACTGATTAGTAAGGGTTAACTGTTATTCAACTGTCATATCCTATAAGTCTTGTTTTCTTTGACACTTTTTGTGTTTTCTTTCATGTTTGACTTTTGGTAGAGAAATGTTTAAATTTCTTCCTCAGCTCCTTTTATATATCTTGTATACCTGTGTACTTTGTGCTTACCACTAAGATTATACTCAATATCCTAAAATTAAAATCCTCAAATTTGAAATTATTCCAGCTTAATATCAATAACATTGCACTGAAAAATTCTGTACTCTAAAAGATTTGTTCCCAAATTTTTTAGTGGAAAATAAAATGTAACATTATGTAATGCTAATTTATAGACTAATAATTATTCTTAAAATATATTTGTCTCTTTGGAAAAAACAAGAAACTGTTGGTATAGTGGTGCGTTTCCTATGAATAACTCAAGTTTATCCTCTTTTATGGATAGTATTCCATTGTGTATAAGTACTGCATTTTTTTATCCATTCATGTACTAATGGACATATGGGCTGCTTCCAAGATTTAGTAATTTAATAATTGCTCATGGAAGTAGCCTTTCTGAGATCTTTTGTCCATACAATTTTGGGTTACTCTCTGGTGTTTGTTCATGTCACTCTGCAGGACTTTCTTGAGCATTTCTTGCAAACCCACATACTAGTATTGAACTCCCTTATGTTTTTAAATCTAGTGATGTCTTAATTTCTCCTTCACATGGAGGAATAACTTTTCTGGATGTAAGACCCATGGTTGACTTTTCTCTTTAACTTTTTGATCGTATCACACCACTGCTTTCTGGTCTCCATGTTTCTGCTGACAGATTTGCTTATAATCCCATTGAGAAGACTTGCATCTGACAAATCATTTAGCTTTTCCTGCCTACAAGATTCTATTTTTGCCTTTGTCTTTTAAAAGTTTGATTGAAATGGATCTCACTGTGACACGTTTGAAATAATCAAACTTGGTGTCTTTGAGCTGCTTAGATGTTTACATCAATGTCTCTCATCAGTTTGGGGAAGTTTTACACTGTATTTCCTCAAAAAATTTTTGCTCCCTTCTCTGTTATTTCTCCTTATGAAATCCCAAAATGTTTGTGCTTGTTTGCTTGAAGGTATCTCAAAGGTACTGTCTTAGTCACTTTCCTGACTCTGGAACAAAATAATACTCACAGCTGAGTGGAGGAGAGCTTTATTTTGGCTCTGAATTTCAGTCCATAGTTAGCTGTCACCTAGGCATAAACAATGCTATAGAAAGTCATGGCAGGATTAAAGCTGTTCAATCTGTGGCAGCCAGGAAACATCTAAGCAAAGAGCCAGGGACAAGAATACATGCTTTTAGGTTGGGCCCCCGGTGACCCACATCCAACCAGGCCCCACCCCCTAATAACACATTCATCTACTAAACTTATCAGTGGATGAGTCCACTAATTAGTAGAGCATCCCCGTGATCGAATTACCTTGCACACACACTTGAGAGGTCTGAGGTCAAACATAACAGGTACCATAGGTCCCTTTGGTCTGTACCTCTGGGATTGGAAGTAGAAATTATATGTATAAAATCAGCATGCGTTTTGCTCACTTTTGTTCATAGTTTCTGAGTGGAATTAGTGATGGTGTGAGTATCCTTCAGTGTATGCAGAGAAAAACACACACACAAAATAGTTCTTGCCCTTCAGGTGAGAGAACTCTGAGAAACATGTGACATAATAACCAAGGTATTCCAAGAACGTTCAATCTCCATGTACCTTAGGTAATAATAATATGTTTGTAAATGCCAAACTATTCACTTCTTATCATTCTTGACCTCATTTTATATTGTTCCTTTGCTGTAACTTCCCTCATAACCCATTTTACTCTAATCTTTGCCCCAGGATCTGCTTCTAGGGGGATGCAGCCTGAGAGGAGTATAATAAAGTCTTCAAGTTTTAGTGTTTATGTATTTCTTTTTGAATATGCTGTAGCTTTTATTTTATAAAAGCAGTTATTGTGATTTTTCTGGAACAAATCTTAATAGCTCATATATTAAGACCACAGTTCTCCTTTTAATGCCTTTTGTTCTGTATTTTATTTCATCTACTATTATAACTTCATTGTACTTGCATTTTATTAATTTATACTTATTAATTTATGTTTAAGCTTCCTGAATTATTTGATTTAAATGCATCTTACACAAAGCATAGCACTGGTCTGTGATTTGTTGACAAATCTGCCTGTACTGGCAGTTCCAGCTCATGGGTGCAGAGGGAAACAGCACTTGCAGACAGCTTTGACATACACCCCAAGGCAGTGTGGCTGCATGCAGTGATAGAAACATCCACCACTCAACACAACTTAATTTGGACAGAAAATAAGTGAAATAGAGGAAAGGGGGACGCTGGAATAAGAGATGAAGCTGACCTCAATCTGGGCATTGCTTTCCGTGCAGATTCAGAGACTATACCAGTGTGCAGTAAAATGTGCAGAAGGATCTGGAGAAAGAAGCCAGATGGGCGACCGTAGCTGGGCACTCACTACAGGTGCCACTGCCCACGCTGCCAGCCTTGCTGCATGGTTCCCCTGCTGAGACATGGCTCAGGGTCTGAGGTCACAGCAGACAAATGCTTTCCCGTTCATGGGCTCTGCTCCCAGAGCCAGGTCTGGAAACTGTGCCATTCTGTGAAATGCACGGAAACTTTTAGGGAAACTATCCAGGATGTCTGACACCATGCGGAGCTCACCTGTCATTATTGCCCTCAGCATCAGCCTCATTGAGTGTCTCTGCCTCCCTGGAGCTGAGCACGGGGAGAAGCAAGTGCCAGAGAGAAACGTATAGGTCAGGAGCAGTTGGGAGCCACAGGTGCTGAGAGAGAAAAGAAATACCCTGAATTAGCTGGAGTAACCTCCTCCTCAATGACATGAAATCATGGGGGACTGAAGAAGCTGAGACCTAGCAACCAGGGTTCCATATACAGAGAGAGAAGGAAAGGGTGTGCTTCCTAGGAGGACATGCCTAGCTGGAGATCCTGGGCTGGGACTCACTGGACAGAGCAAATTCCCTGCCACTGACCAAGAAAATGAGAGTGACCCGAACAACAGATTTCTGAACAGAAATCTTAAAAGCCAGGAGAACTGGAATGGAGATTTTGAAACTCATAGAATAATTGCCAACCCAGATTACTATGTCATGCAAAACTATATTTCAAAATCAAAGGAGAAATAATATTTTCCATGATAAGTGTAAATTAAAGAAATTCATTATCATAAAGCCACATAGCAGCCAGGCATGATGGCACATGCCTGTAATCCTGCCACTTGGGAGGCCGAGGCAGGAGAATTGCCACAAGTTTGAGGCCAGCCTGGACTACAAAGTGAGTCCAAGACCTGTCTGAATTGCCTAGCAAAATCCTGTCTCAAAAAAAAAGAGAGAGACAAAAAGAAAGAAAAGAAACATACAGCCACATAGAAGAAAATACTTAAAGAAATCCTAGCCACAGACCAAAACAAAAGCTATGAGATAAAGGGCAAGGGGCTGAGGATTTAGCTCAGCAGCACAGCGCCTGCCTGGAAAGCACAATGTCGTGAGTTCGATTGCCGGTACTGGAAAAAAATTAAAAAAAAAAAAACAGGAAAAAAAGGAGATAAAGGGAAATCATAAACTCACTGAGAGAGAAGCAAAATGAATGAACAGTACAAATCAATCAAATATATTTTAAAAACAACAAGATGATAGGAATTAATACATACCTTGCAATAACAACAGTTAATGTAAATAGATGGTCTTAACTCTCCAGATAAAAGACAAAGACTGGAAGTCTGTGTCTAAAAAAATAACACCCATACATATGACATCTATAAGAAACACACCTCACCTGTAGACACAGATTGAAAGTGAAAGGATGGAAAATAATACTCCAAGCAAGTGGAGCTTGAAAGCAAGTAAAAGTAGCTGTACTCATATCTGACAAGGTCAATTTCAAACCAACAATGGTCAGAAAACACAAAAAAGATCACTGTATATTGCAGAACAGCAAATTAACCAAAAATAAATAACAGTCATAAATACACACACACACACACACACACACACACACACACACACACATCCAGTTTAAAAACTGTTTCATTAGTCCATGCTTTACATTCTCTGTGTGGAATAGGTACATGTCCACAACACATCTTAAATTCTTTTTTCTGCAGCTTCCCCTCCCTCCTTTCATCTCTTGATCCCTTTCCCATTTGAGAAATTTCTATCTCCCTACTTCCTATACGTATTTTTTATTTTATTCTTTATTTGTAGTTTGAGTTTCTCATAGGAGATACCATGAGGGAGTTAAGCTTGCATGTCTGATTTATTTCATTTAACAGTGTAGTCTCAAGAAGAACAAACATCAGTTTGCATAAAATGACAGACTTTCCAGTAAAATAATAACAGTTTACTTTGACATCCAATATCACAGATAGGTCAACAGGACAAAAAAGTCAAAAACCATCATCAGAGTTATCAAGCTACACAGTATATCAAGTTGACTTAACTGGTGTCTGGAGAGTACTTTATCCAACAACAGAATGCATTTTAATTACCTCACGGAACTTTCTCCAAATGGACAATATTTTAAGCCATAAAGCAAATCTAAATCGATACAAAAATTGAAAAAGCCCATGCATTCTATTATATCACAAAGAAATGACATTAGAAATGAAGGGGAGAAAAGTACAAAAAGATAAGGACTTGGCAAATGAAGACTCAAATAGTAAGTGACAAAAATTCAGAGGAAAAATGAAAAATTTTTACCAAATGATGTTTGATATATTACATATCAGAATGTGTGGGAAACAGTGAAAGCCATTATAATAGTTTCATAGCTATGAGTGCCTGTTAGATGAACAAAGTGAGCAAAAATAAATCATCAAATGATGCACATTAAAGTCCTAGAAAAGCAAGAACAACCAAACCCAAAGCCAGTACAGTAGAAAGAAAGAAATAATAAACAGCACAGCAGAAATTAATAAAATTGAAACAAAAACAATACCAAGGATCATTAAATTAATGAGTTAATTCTTTGAGATAGTAAAAAAGACCAATAAACCTTTATCCAAACTTGCAAAAAGAGAGAAATGGCCAAAATTAATAAAATTAGAAATAAAAAGTAAAATTGCAGAAGACATCACTGAAATCTAGAAAATAACCACTAATTATTTTCAAAATTTATATTCATGTTCAAATGAAAAGGGGCCCTGGCAAGTGTGAGGTCATGAGTTCGATTCCTGGCACCAAAAAAGAAGAAAAGCAAATGAAAAGGGGAATTAGGGAAGGCTCAAAGGGAGAAGAAAGAAGGGAAAAGAAAAAATGAGAAAAGAAGGAAAAATGGAAACAAAGTTTTGTAAACAAGAAGGGGAAGAGTGATTGAAGGGTAGGTAGGAGAATAGGAAAAAAGAATGAAGTTATATCATAACAAGTACAAATTTCCTATGATGACTGTGATCATTATGTATACCTAAAATATACCAATAAACTTAATTAATAAGACTGATTAAGAGAAACAAAGAAGGTCACTATATCCTTGTAAATGGAAAAATCTTAGAGAAAGAGATAAGAATCATAAATATATATGCTCCAAATACCAGTGCCTCAAATTATATAAAACAAATATTAATGGGCATGAAACATCAAATAAACACTAATACAGTTGTACTGGGGATCTCAAAACCCCACTATCACAAAAGGCAGATCAGCTAGACAAAAAATCAACAATGAAATACTAGAACTGAAACAAACTATTGAACAAATGGATTTAGTAGATGTCTACAGAGTGTTCCACCCCACAACATCAGAATACACATTCTTCTCAACTGCACATGCAACATTCTCAGAAATAGACCACATTCTAGCTCAGAGAACATGCTTAAGTAAATGCAAAGGAGTCAAAATTATCCCATGCATATTATCAGACCACAGTGCAATGAAACTGGAAATCAATGGCAAAAGAACTTCATAAATGCATGGAAATTAAATAGCATCCTCCTGAACAAACAGTGGGACATATATGAAATTAAAGAAGAAATTAGAGGTCGGGTGTGGTGGCACATGCTTGTAATTCCAGCACTCAAGAGGCTGTGAGTTCAAGGCCAGCCTGGGCTACAAAGTGAGCTCAGGGCCAGCCTGAACTGCATAGCAAGAACCTGTACCAAAGGAAAAAAAAAAAAAGAAGAAATTAGTTTCTGCCATTAGATGATAATGGTAATGCAGCATACTGGAACGTATGGAATACAATGAAAGCTGTCCTACAAGGGAAACTTATAGCAGTGAATATCCATATCAGGAAAGCAGCAAGGTCAAATAAATAACTTAATGTTGAACCTCAAGCATCTAGAAAAACAAGAGCAAGTCAAGTGCAAATCTGATATGAAGGAGAAAATTATTAAGATTAAAGCAGAAGTTAATGCAATAGAGACTAAGAAAACAATACAAAGAATCAATGAACCAAAGAGTTGGTTCTGAAATAAACAAATTAATAATTTATATAATTATTGATTATAATATTAATTCATACTTCATCTAATAATTTATATAATATAATTATATAATACTAATGATTAAATAAATCAACAAACACCTAGCCAATCTTATCCAAAAAGGAAAGACTCAAATCCATGAAATTAGGAATGAAAGGGATGAAATCACAAGAAATCCTGCAGAAAACTAGAAGATATTCAATACCTACTTTGAGAACTTGTATTCTATTAAGATGATAAATGTAGAAGAAATGGACAGATTGCTAGATACATATTAATTATCAAAAGCTGAATGAAGATATACAAATTTTAAAACAAACTGCTATCAGTCAATGATATTGAAGACATAATTAAAAACTCACCAACAAAGAGAAACCCAGACCTTGATAGATTCACTGATGAATTCTATAATAAATTTAAAGAACTAATATTTCTACTTCTCAAACTCTTCAGTGAAATTGAAAGGGATACAATATTCCCAAACTTATTCCTACAACCATTATCCTGATACTAAAACCAGAGAAGGATCCAACTAAGAAAGACAACTACAGGGCAATCACCTAATAAACATAGATGCAAAAATCCTCAAAAAGTTACTTGCAGACAGAATTCAGCAAATCATCAAAAGATCACCCATCACTACAATGCTGGATTCATCCCAGACATGCACAGATGTTTCAATATATGCAAATAAATAATTGTAATACACCATGTTAAATAAGGCAATGACAAAAAGTATAGGATAACCTCACTAGATGAAGAAAAAGCATTTGACAAAGTCCAACACCCATTCATGAAAGAAAAACTCCTACAGAATATTGGAATAGATGGTCTTTATCTCAATCTGATAAAACTACAGCCAATATAGTTCTGGAAAGATTTTCCAGAAAAATTAGACAAGGGAAAGGAAAGGAATAAGGATAGGAAATGAAGAAGTTGAATTATCATTATTTGTGGATGACATGATACTCTACAGAGAAGACCCCAAAATCTCCACCAAAAGACTTCCAGATTTAATAACCAAATTCAGTAGCATAGCTGAATACAAAGTCAACACTCAAAACTCAGTAGCTTTTCTGTACACAAATAACAAATTTACTAAGGTAGAAATTAGGGAAACAACATCTTTCACAAAAGCATCCAAAAAATGAAATAGCATATCAAACTAATCAAGGAAGTAAAAGACCTCTACATTAAAACTACACTACTGTAAAAAAGGGGATTAAAGAGGATATCACAAAACAGAAAGACATCCCTTGTTCTTTGGTAGGAATAACCAATATAATAAAAATGGCCATACTTCCAAAATTGTTATACAGTTTTACTGCAATTACAATCAAAATTCCA